TAAATTCTATTTCCGACAGTGTAATAAACAGCTGTTTGCTTTCGTCAGTTGCTATATATTTAGTTGAGGGTTGAATTAATATAAACTGGTTATTACAACTTCTACTGGACATTAATTTAGGAAAGGGTGATATTTTATAAATATAATTGACTTTAAGTCATAGGTATATGTTAAATTTTGCAGCATGCCATCATCACTAATAAACGGCTGTAGTGTTCAGTGTAGTGGCAGTCAAACCTCTCCTAGGCCTTTCCACACCGCATACATCTTTCCGCCTTTGTTTTGGGACAATTTCGGCTTACATGGTCCCCCATTTGATGGCAATTATAACTCCTCTTCTCCGGCTTCGTCACTTTTGTCACCACAGTACTGTAGCTAGCTGGACCGCCACGCGGTTTCCCTCCACTAGCTGTAGGACGACTGTATCTGTTAAAAGAAGACAAAAACCCAGTATATACGTCGCCAGGGGTTGAGCAAGCAAATGCCCGTGCATTCGCCTGCAGATCGAGAGGTAGTCCGTCAATCAAGCATGAGAGCGCCTTTGTGCCTGACAGCTCGCACCTCTCAATTAATGCCATTTTGTCGTGGTAGTAGTGGGTCATTGTTTCGCCATCCAATTTCCCCCTCGCCATCATGTCCTTAATTAGGCAGGGCGCCCACCAAAGTGTCGTGATGCGTAGCATATGATATGGCGCGGTGCAGCATGACCACGACGTAAGTAGCGTGGCTCAGTAGACGCCCACTTAAATGGCAAAAGTTAGCAGAAGCAAAGTCAAAAACTAGCAGTTTGCATTTGATACATTTGTATAGTTTCTCGCCATTATGAGTAAATAATGTCGTCCTCAGATGAAAATGCTTTAGCCATAGTAAATTTAATTAATATTAATAAAAAACGGACTAAACGTAGGCATTGGATACATACGTATTGGAAATCCAGGCAGTCATATAGCGGATTTAATGTATTTAAAGAATTGCATCAATATCCAGACAAATTTCAGTCTTTCTATAGGATGAAAAAAGAAACCTTTGAGTTATTACTTACAAAACTACGACCTGAGATTTCGAAAAAGGATAGAAATTTTAGAAGAGCAGTCCCTCCTGAAGAACGCCTCTTAATTACATTACATTAAGGTCAGACTTACATTAAGGTGAGTTTATTTTGAATTATTTAAATAATAATAGTATAGTGTTTCCAATGTCACTTTGACCACCAGTCAGTTTTTGGACTAGTTTTACTGGTATTTAGAATAAGGCCACCAGTAAAAAAACATGTTTTAACAGATGTCCATATCATAATATAAGGAAACTAGTAGTTTTACTCCTTGTCAAATCCTTTGTTCTTTTTCTGCCACTTTATATGACCTTGTTCTCGCTTCCGTAGCCGACGACGTAGCTGTACAGTCGTGGTCTATTAACTAGGCAACGTATAGACTCGCCATAGTTTCACAGATATGTATTTAGGAAAATATGAGTTCACAATAAAATAAAATAAAAAACAATGATCATCGAGTAAAAACTTGCTTGAAAACAGAATATTTTCACATTTTGTGTAGGTAACAATTCTTCTGTATCTGAAAATCTTCTGATGGGAAGAAATGCGGAAAAAATATATAATGACATATTTTTATATTATTATCTATTTCAGAGATTTTCTACGACCTTTTTTTATTTAAAGCAAGTTTAATTTTCTGTAGATAACTGGATTCGGCATAAAATTATGCTATAGTACACTGTCTTTATTTAAAACACACTGCGGTGTTGCCATTCTATTTCTTATTTACTAAAACTTTCGTTAAAAACATTATCTACGAAAAGTGGTAAAAAACTAGAGTGAATATAACTTTATTAATACTTTGCTATGTTTATTTTTTATCTTTGCTATTATACGAATATTTAGCTAACGAGCTAATTTCTATATTAGCAGTTCAAGGCAAGAAACTCTTATATAATTTTATTATATACCTAAAAACTGCAAGAAATTTATTTTCCATTATATAATTTGGGCTAGCCGAAAAAAGCCTTTATTTACTATCGATAGTTGTGCCTCGGTGGTACGAAAGTACTACCATTGCACGCAGGCCGCTATCTCGCGATGCGGGACTTAATATCTTACCGCTACTTTACGACAAGTCGTGTTTATATACTCTGCGCTGTGCTCGACATATTGTGGAAACAACCCAAGCTCACCTGATGATGGGGTAGGGCCCCGAAACCGGTAGTGAGAGCAGGTTGATCCACATTATGTCGAACACAGCGTGGAATTAATTTCTATATTAGCAGTTCAAGGCAAGAAACTCTTATATAATTTTATTATATACCTAAAAACTGCAAGAAATTTATTTTCCATTATATAATTTGGGCTAGCCGAAAAAAGCCTTATTTACTATCGATAGTTGTGCCTCGGTGGTACGAAAGTACTACCATTGCACGCAGGCCGCTATCTCGCGATGCGGGACTTAATATCTTACCGCTACTTTACGACAAGTCGTGTTTATATACTCTGCGCTGTGCTCGACATATTGTGGAAATACCCAAGCTCATCTGATGATGGGGTAGGGCGCCGAAACCGGTAGTGAGAGCAGGTTGATCCACATTATGTCGAACACAGCGTGGAATTAATTTCTATATTAGCAGTTCAAGGCAAGAAACTCTTATATAATTTTATTATATACCTAAAAACTGCAAGAAATTTATTTTCCATTATATAATTTGGGCTAGCCGAAAAAAGCCTTTATTTACTATCGATAGTTGTGCCTCGGTGGTACGAAAGTACTACCATTGCACGCAGGCCGCTATCTCGCGATGCGGGACTTAATATCTTACCGCTACTTTACGACAAGTCGTGTTTATATACTCTGCGCTGTGCTCGACATATTGTGGAAATACCCAAGCTCACCTGATGATGGGGTAGGGCCCCGAAACCGGTAGTGAGAGCAGGTTGATCCACATTATGTCGAACACAGCGTGGAATTAATTTCTATATTAGCAGTTCAAGGCAAGAAACTCTTATATAATTTTATTATAAACTGCAAGAAATTTATTTTCCATTATATATCCATACATCCATTATATATATATATATATATATATATATATATATATATATATATATATATATATATATATATATATATATATATGGTTATATATATATATATATATATATATATATATATATATATATATATATATATATATATATATATATATATATATATATATATATATATATATATATATATATATATATATATATATATATATATATATATATATATATATATATATATTACGTCACACAAATAAAGGCAAGAAAATATTATTTATTAATATACACTAAAGCTGTAAGAATTTTGTTCATTTCATATATTTGAGCGGGCCGAAAACGCTCTTTACCATCTTTTGACGGGAGATGCACTAATATCTCACCGACACTTTACGACATCGTCTGTAGATATAGAAGAAGTTTTGCTTGCCGTGAGAACCAGCCCCTGGACAGCCCACCTGATGAAGGGTAGGCCCAGAAACCGGTTGTGGGAGTGGAGCTTTGTTCCCCCTTTACGACAAGAAAAACAATTTTATTTTTACTTTTTATTTATTTTTTTAATTTTTCTCTACTTTCGATTTTTCGAAATTAGAAAAATACACAGCTAAAGGCAAGAAAATATTATTTATTAATATACACTAAAGCTGTAAGAATTTTGTTCATTTCATATATTTGAGCGGGCCGAAAAACGCTCTTTACCATCTTTTGACGGGAGATGCACTAATATCTCACCGACACTTTACGACATCGTCTGTAGATATAGAAGAAGTTTTGCTTGCCGTATCGGTGAGAACCAGCCCCTGGACAGCCCACCTGATGAAGGGTAGGCCCAGAAACCGGTTGTGGGAGTGGAGCTTGGTCCCCCTTTACGACAAGCAAAACAATTTTCTTTTTACTTTTATTTATTTTTTTTTAATTTTTCTCTACTTTCGATTTTTCGAAATTAGAAAAAATACACAGCTAAAGGCAAGAAAATATTATTTATTAATATACACTAAAGCTGTAAGAATTTTGTTCATTTTCATATATATATATATATATATATATATATATATATATATATATATATATATATATATATATATATATATATATATATATACAGGATATTTTTTATGGCGTCACCAAAATCGTAATATTTAAAAAATGTTGTATCTCATTTTTTTTAAACGCAACACCTTGTATATTATTTTTCTTTCAGATGTATAATTAAAAGGTGAACATTTTTTGACAAGACAAGATAGACAAAGATCATATTAGGTGGATTTGAAAAAAAAATACTGTAGAAAGAGCCATATGTAATATAATACTGCGAATATCTGCGACAGCGGTAAAAATTTAGAAACACTTTAAATTAATAAAAAAATATTCACTTTTTAATTCTGCATCTGACAGAAAAATAATATACAGAATGCTGCATTTAAAAAAATTGAGATATCCCAGTTTAAATATTGCGATTTTGGTGACGCCATAAAAAATACCCAATATAGAATAATGTATATAGAATGATGTAAAATAATAAAAAAAATCAAACTAACTTTACCATAACTTTTTTTGTGACACCCTGTGTATAACAAAATATTTTAGGATACACCCCTTTATAAACCTTGAAACATATGAATAAAACTTTTTTCACATCTTCGACAACGACGACGATATTGAACTTCCTCGCTCTAATGGGCCACCCTGTATATTTACAGTGGTTTAAAGCTAGGTGTGGCACTTTTCTTCCCTCAAATATAAACTCAATATTTTGTCTATAATATTTTGAATATTGTTATATTACGACCACTTATAATAAAAAATAAATAAAAAGACATAAAAAATACAGAACACTAAATTTATAAGAGATTATGCAATTATAAAATTCTTTAATTCTTTCAATTAAAAAATATGAATAATTTGCGGAGACTTTAGATGTACAAAATATTTACTCTAAAATTGTTTCAAAAACCAATTTATATAAATTATCTATGTGATGAATCTACTTGTTCCTTCTGTATTGTATACATTATCGGGCGATGATGTGGATTCAACTTTTTCGTTCAAAATATTTCCGGCACTTGTTAACATCTCTATTTTGTAACGCCGTTTTTGATTATCGTTCATTTTCTTTATGTCTGCCAAAAGACTGAATAAAAATAAGACATCGGGATTTTCAACCTTCTGTTGTTTACCAGAAGTGATCTGATTCAATGCTTTCTTGCTCTCAAAATACTGAAATGCTGATTTTTTCATTGTAGATGTACAAAATATTTACTCTAAAATTGTTTCAAAAACCAATTTATATAAATTATCTCGTAAATTATTATTGGAATGAAAATTTTATGGAAAATCCCCTGACCAAAAAATATTTTCATGCGCATATTTGAGACAACCTGTATATCTAAAAAACTATTTTTAAAATCTGCCCACATGCTAAAAAAAATAACATTTAATTAATTACATAATATCTCAGCTTCTAAAATAAACAAATATAATTAAATGTTAATTGATAATTACTATCAGCTTGCCGATTTACATCCGATGGAAATCTAAAAAGACTCAAAGAACAATTTTTTGAATTATTTCCACAATAGCAGCGCACAGTAAGGCACTCATTTTTTGTCAATCCGTCCCTGTGCTCAGACGCAACGCTCGAACCTCACAGCTCGACGGACCGAATTCAACTGAAACGCTTTGCAACCTGCCGATATTCGACAGCTTGCAAAAACTGGCAGAAAATATTTGCGAGAGTGCAACTACTCTTTTCCTTAAACTATGGTCATATTCTATGTACTAGTAAAAAATTTATTTTGACTGGTGGTCCTAACCTAAATAACAGTAAAACCAGCCCAAAAACTGACTGGTGGTCAAAGTGAGATTGGAAACACTATACCTACCTAATACCTAGTAATATATATCATGTGCAAAGGATGAAGATATTACTGATGAACACCGTCAACTTGGCAATGCAGCGAGTTGTAAACTGGATGGAGAATAATCTATTAACCGTAGCCGTAGCTTCACATAAAACTGAAGCAGTATTACTGACCAGAAAAAGAAAAATATCCCCGGTGCAGTTTTATATACAAGGAAATGTAATTTACCCAAGTAATTCTTTAAAATACTTAGGAGTCTGGCTGGATACCAAATTGAATTTTGCGGACCATATTATAAAACCATCACCAAGGCCGAGAAAACTGTCACCGCTTTAGCCTTACTCATGCCAAATGTAGGAGATGCTAGAGCATCCAAAAGAAGAGTACTTGCTAGTGTTGTACACTCGCAGCTGTTGTATGCTGCACCGGCATGGCATAAAGTCACTAACAATCGCAAGCTAATGCAAAGACTACGCAGAATACAACGCATTATGTCTATTAGGGTATGCAGCACATACAAAACTGTATCTGGAGAGGCTATAGGAGTTATTGCTGAAATAGCGCCTATTGATCTGCTCATACAGGAACGATATGATAGATACCATGGGATGGATAAAAATCTAGCAAGGACAAAACTTCTCCAACAGTGGCAAGAGAAATGGAATAACGGAGTATATGGCAGATGGACTAACAGGTTAATAATACCCGACATACCACTATGGTTAAACAGACAATATGGAGAAGTCGATTACCTCATGAGTCAAGCATTGTCTGGCCATGGGTGTTTTAGAAAATATTTATGCGATCGTCGTAGGGTTGATAGTGCATCATGCATCTATTGTGGTCAAGATGATAATGTTCAACATACACTATTTGCGTGTGAACGATGGCAGGTCTTTAGGGAACATTTCCGTATAGAAACAGGCAGAGACTTTGACTTTTGTGATGTACCTAGTTAAAGGGGAAGAACAATGGAAGCTTGTATATCAGATGGTCCGAAATATAATAAGTTGTAAAGAGAGGGAAGAAAGACAACGAGCACCATAAATCTATAGACACCCTTTGCACTGAAGCAATACGAGAGCGGATTCCAGTGTAAAGTGGTAGTTGGAGGAGGGTTTTTTTAGCCGGTAAGAATCCGATAAGCATAAGACACCCAATTGTGGATGTCTTATGCAAGATTTCTTCCCTCCTCACCGAGAAAAAAAAGTAATAATAAAATATCGGCATTTATTATTATAACACGTTTATTAAATGAAAAAGTAAGCAGTGATTCTATTTCGAAAAACGCAGGTAGTCTGATAGGTAATTCAAATCAATAACTTTAACGCGATCCATGTCCACCAGTCCTCCCGCAGTCCGGTCATTATCGAGCGGTAATTTGAACCCATTTGTTCCTTCTGTATTTTGTACATTATCTGGCGGTGATATGCATTCACTTGTTCCTCCTGATGTATTTTGTGGATTATCGGGCGGTGATGTGATGAATCTACTTGTTCCTCCTGTATTGTATACATTATCGGGCGATGATGTGGATTCAACTTTTTCGTTCAAAATATTTCCGGCACTTGTTAACATCTCTATTTTGTAACGCCGTTTTTGATTATCGTTCATTTTCTTTATGTCTGCTAAGACTCAATAAAAATAAGACATCGGGATCTTCAACCTTCTGTTGTTTACCAGAAGTGATCTGATTCAATGCTTTCTTGCTCTCAAAATACTGAAATGCTGATTTTTTTACATCGTCAAGTGTTGGCCCAGATTTATTGAAACTCAAGCGACTTTTTTTAAATACTTTAGAGGATTTAGACGTACGTGTCACCTCACTTGCAGGAGCAGCAGAATCAGGAGTATATGACGAGAGCCTCGGTGAGATCGGTGAAAAAGCTTCATTTTCTAGCCCTTCTTCATACTGAGTATTCGAAAGTTTCGTTTTTCATTGTTTAGTTTTCATTGCTTCAGATTTGGTAAAGGGCGTTAAGAAAGTCATATGTTCGGCAAGATAGTACGGCTTTTTCTTTTTTGCGGCAGAACCTAAAGGTGTATTTATATACTTAAGATGTCGAGTATAAGAACCTTTTAAGTTCTTCCAGCGTTCCTTATAATCGTGAACTGAAAAGAAAGAAACATTATGAAGCTCTTTAGAACAATCAGTAAATACTAAAAATTAAACGTAATTTTTTTTCCAGATACTTGGCGACCGGCTGTTCTTTCAAGTCTCTCTCTTATTATTTTCTAAGAGGCCACACCAGAATTCGCCGTATCGTTATCAAAACTTGCAAAGCTATTTGGAAAATATTGCAACCAGAATATATGCCAGTCCCATCAGAAGAACTATGGTTAAAAACTGCCAAACGTTACTGGGAATTGTGGAATTTGCCCAACTGCGTAGGTAGTGCCGTTGGAAAGCATATAAGAATTAAATTTCCGGCAAAATCAGGCTCAGCATATTTCAACTACAAGAGTTATTTTTTAATCGTCTTACTAGCTGTTGCATATGCTGACGGGCTGTTCCTTTCAGTCGATATTGGAGAGTACGGACGAAACAGTGATGGCAAGGCACTAAGAGAAAGGGTTTTCGGAAAAGCACTAGCAAATAATCAGCTTGATCTTCCAGAACCTTCTGCATTACCAGGGAATGAAAATATTAATTTTCTGTACTACTTTGCGGCAATATTTAATTATAGGCTTTCTAGAGGACGAAGGTCTGTTGAATGCTCCTTTGGTATACTGACCTCTAAATTTAGAGTACTTGAAACGCCCATTTGCTGTGACGTGCATAAAGTTGATAACATAATTCAAGCTGCCTGTGTACTACACAATTTTATACGCATTTGTGATGGAGTTTTCACAAACCCTGCATTGCATCTGTAAACTGAGAATACTGATGTGCCTGTTATAACGGCACCACAAGGACGACAGCAAAGACCTACTAATACCGCTCTCGAATTGAGAAACCAACTTTGCGATTTTTTCCTCATTCCGCAAGGGGCATTGCTTTGGTAAATTGATCATTGCATTTAGCTTAACTTTTATCCCAAAATTCAATAAATAAAAAAAATCTCTCGATCACAAAATATACAATAATAATCATATAAATAACACTCTCTATAAGGCTAATACCTAAGAACGGCGATTGTCAAAGAAGTGCGACAGAAAGACTATCCTACCATGCGAAGAACAAGGATAGTATGGTCATACTTTCCTTCTTGCAGTAAGATTGATCTTCCATTTCACTTTTTTGGCGGAACGAATTTACATTTATTCTTTTATACCAGCCATAGAGACTGTTATTTATATGATAATAATGAAAAATAGTTTGTGGACATAACCTCTTTAATATACTTAAATTTACTTACCTGATTCGTTTAATTCTTTACTGATCTTTTCCCATGCTTTGTCTTGCAAATTCCTGTTGGAATATTGGTTGGAATTATAATCATAGCTCAGAGGATATTTCTCAATAATCGAAACAAATTGAACATTGAATTCCGGATTGTCTTTCATTTTTCAATACGCACACAAATACCATACCAAAAACCAACTTTGCAGCCTTCTGACGCGACAAGAATTAGAACATGTTCTATTTTTAATGCAGTCCCATGATATGCCACGTGTCACGACATGCGCGTTGCTCGCTTTGTCACTTTGTTCACTCGGAGATAGGCATATTTTTCTTACCAATAAAACTAAAAAGTATACACTAAGAAAATGACCATGAAAATATTTTTATTTATTAAAGTAGAACATTTAAGAACTTAATTTAAAAAAGATAATTAATTATCATTAATTAATAAGCATGAGGCAGATTATTATAGATTTCGTGATAATCGCTTTCCATGCTAAACTGAAGCTGTTGGAGGGGTCCATATTTTTCTGCTTTAATTGTTAGACTATTTTTGTGTAGTTTCGGTAAGTTATCTATATTAGTTGCCTTAATAGATTTTATGTTCAACCTTGTTGGAAGAGCTTGCCAATCTTTTTCCGAATGACGAAGTTTAAAAAAAATCCATCATTTGAGTACTTCAAGGCTTTTATGTCGTTTACTAATGGTGCTCCAGCGATTTTTCCTGGTCGAATGGCGTTGAAATATTTTAGTTCATCATATTTTTTAAAGAAGTCGTGCATGAGGTACTCAACTTTGTAAGGAGTTTTTTGACATGCTGTTTTGCAAATAAACACGTAATCTGCGGGAATATTGATTTTCTTGTTTCGGATCTTTCTTTCGATAACAGAGTGAACGCTGTCCACTTCCATTCGTGTATGGCCCTTATGTAAATATTTTTGTACCAGAGTTATATATAGGTACATAATTTTCCAGTGCAAAATTAAACAGACCATTTGATAAAGTTGTGTTAGGTTAGTTCTGGTATCCACACCCGTCACTCCATAATATACTTTTAATGTCATTTTGATTTTCTAATTGATATTGTTCTAGATGTCCTTTCAAAAAATGAATTATTATGCTTGTAAATTCGTTACTTGTTAATCCGCCTTCAGACTCTTTCCAAAGGTAACAATAACCTTGTTTGCGCTTGATGTCAAATATTGTGAAATTATGAACGATTAATTTCGTCTTGTAATAAAGCGAAGAAACATTAGATTTTGGAGAGCAAAACCGATCGAAGATTCATTGCTAAAACTTCATTTTAAGACTCTTTATCTGCACTCTTTTCGTTTTTTGCTCCATGTCATGTGTTTATTGTACTTGTCTTCTGTTAAATTGCCTGTTTGATAAGCGACACAACTGTCGCATAGATCTTTTTATGGTTTATAAAGCGACAACCTTTTTTGTCGAATTCCTTATGAAAAGTGGCAATTGATACAGTATTTTCATTACGTGTTTTGCAGTAGTCGTTTTTATAAATCTTATACAAATGGGCTTAAGGCTGAATTCCAAATAGGTTCTAAATAGAGCTTAGCGGTAGAAGCCCTACAGAAATGCGACTCTAACTTTGGTAGAGTCTCAAAAAACTCATGCAGCAAACGAACAGAAGTATTAATTTTATCAGGTATTTCAGTCTGGTTAAAATGGACTTGGTTGCTATTTTTGTTCACTTTTTTATAACCCACTCGTTCACCCCTAATGTGTTAAGAAACATTACTTTACACACCCTTAGTCTGGCCTTGCCCAAAAAAACTTATGCGAATATGATCTTCTAGAAACTTCTCTATATTATATGACAGTGCGTTACCTGATAAAACTCAGCTTCTTGTACGCTACTGAGAGGAGGCATGGATACAATTTTTTTTATAAATCGATTATAGATCGATTTACAGTCTCTAACCAATCTATAAAAACTTTATGGGCAACAGGCTCTCTGAAAGTCTTGAAAATCGACTGAGAAATATCAAAAACGCATTTAATGTAATAGGCAAAAAGTAAGGAACATGTTGGTGTGTTTTTGTTAGATATTAGAGATAATAAAAGGTACAACTTGGAACAGTGTGATTTTTATTTAACCGAAATAATTAATACATGGAGAAAATAAAATCGTGTACGTTTTGTACGTGATACTCTTTCAGACTAACTCAAAAATTCCACTACAATAATATAATATTAAAAGCAACTGCTAGGTATGCATTCTTGTAGTAATTCCCCAAACCGAGAGCTGATGAAATATAAATCAAATAAACGTTTATCGTTAGACGCCGCACAAAAACTTTTATTATTAACTTAAATTATTATTGTTGAATATAAGATTTCCAACAGTTTTCACCGTATAGGAAATTTCGGCATCCAGCTCGTTTTGCTCTGTTTGTAAAGGTTCCAAAATAGTTTCAAAGTCGACGTACAACAAAGGGTACTTTTACTTTTTGTTAGAGGTTAGGTTAGTTATTTATTAATTTAAGGACATTCTCAGGATTATCTTCACCATATTTATTTTTTTTTGAATAAAAATTGATCAATTTTAAAACAGAAATAAATTGGTATTTAACCAATAAATTTAGTCCTCTCTAAAAGTTGAAAATTCAATTTAATTGAGTAAATTATAAAATTTGGCTATGACAGTTTCAATCAAGTTAGAATTAAATAGTTCGTACAAATTATTTTAAAAATAGGTAAAGATAAAATTTAGAAAAAATATATAAAAGAAAAATATTTTGCTCTCTCTCTCTAGAAAATTCCAGACCACCATAATCACTTCGGTACGACTTGAAAAAAAAATTGTTTGTTGCAGTGAATTATTTGATTTAATTTGTAGACACGTGTAAAAAGAATAAAACAATATATAAGATAAAAAAACTAGAAATATATGAATTTAAATTAGAACAAAAGTTAATATTAAAAAGCGATATTATGATAAATTATAAAACTAGATAGAAAGATAAAGGTAAATAGAGAGATAGAGATAAGATACGAAAAATGATAAATGCGGCAATTCGCCAGATAAAATCTAAAAGAAAAGATGTCACTCCAGGAACAAAGATAATGCATCCGTCAAATAAGATAAAGATAAGATAAGATAAATTTGGCAGATACAAGATAAAGATACGTTCCCTAGAGTGACCCAAAAACAACATAAGTCTGATATGACATAAGTCTTGTATGTGACATAAGTCTTATAATAAAAAATATTATAAAAAATCCTTACGTACCAGAGTTCCTCCTGGTTCGTCTCCGAGAGTACTCCTGCAGTGGCTGGTTCTATTCATGGCCCCTGAGATTGCTAAATCGAACACCTCTGCGGGTTCCTGTTCATCAACTTGCGTCTCAGTACATAAGGAAAAAAGATAAAAAAATAATTAGTACTAGATAAAAATTAAAGGTATTAGAAAATTTATAAAACTACTATACACGTGCTACTAAGATAAGAAGATAAAGAAATGAGGATAAAAAAATTTGAATTGTGAGATAAAAAGATAAAATAGAAAAAGGAATTTAAAGTTACAAGATAATTAATTAATTAAATCAAATAACAACATTAGATATTAAGAAATGTTTTGAAAATAAAACCAATAAATAAATTCCAAGCCGTACCTCGCGCTGGTGTCTGGAAAAAAACTAGGTATTTATACGAAGAAGATCCAGATGAGAGAGAGAGTGATTTTCGGCAAAACAATTCCCTTTATACAATTCTCCCATTCATTTAGACATGCGTTAAGTAACAAATGTCAATATAAAAATTCTATAATTAATAGTAAAAATAATACATAAGATAAAATTTCTTATAGACCTTCAAAAAATGTGTGTAACAATTGCATCTTAATTATACAACACTAAACACAAAATATTAATAATAAACCTTCGTTTTCATTAAATACAAACAAATTACAATCAATAAACGATAGGCAACCAGAAAATATAATAAAATATTTAAACAATTCAAACTAACCATCGCTAATCCGCAAAAAATCGATAATATATAAAATCATATAAACGATATAAAGGAAAAAATGTAACGAAAATATTTTCGTTACACACTTCTCCCCGGAAAGAAAAATATGAAAACTCCAGTTTGAGTATTTTTCAAAAAAATTAATTAAGATATCAAGATGCAATTGTCACTAAGATATAATCAGATAAATTGAAGAGATAAAAAAATATTGGGCGCCAGCACGAATGTGCGATGTCGAATTTGCTCACAGATTAACGGTAAGATAAAAAGAAGAAATAATTATACAAATTCAACTTTAAAGGTACTGCAAGAAACCGTCAAGCACTAAACGCAATAAACAGGAGAAGTAGGTAAAGGAACAAGAGAAAAAAGTTACTGTACACAATACTGAGTAACGAAAATATTTTCGTTACATCGGTCATCTCCCTCTACTTGTTAAAAAAAATAATAACGATAATTACCAGAATCACTTTCAGAAAATTCATCGGCCTTTTCTTTTATAATTATTATTAAAAGATTATCTATTATGTCTTTTACTTCTCTTCTCCATTGTGGCAAATTAATTTACAGGGGGTATTAAATGACTTAATACCATAGTTTTCAGTACTAGGATGAAAATAATATCTAAATAATTTCATATTTCTTGTAACACATTGTCTTGCCAGTTGATCATGAAATATTTTCAGAATTTTTATTTCCAAATGTAGAAAATTATTTTTAATATTTAAAATGTTCTCTTAGGTCGAAATCTGTATAATATTATACGTCCCTTGAATGCAGACTTTATTATTTCAACTCCCTTTTCATCTATTACTCTAGGATTGCTTTTGTGGGAATTAGATTGCAGATGACCAGCCCATAAACTTGTGGAAATAATCGTCTTACAAACTTTACAAAATCTCTCTGTAAAAGTAATAATTTGTTGGTTTAAAAAGGAAAGGTTATAAACTCAAAAAAAATATCTTATGTTTTTCTTCAACTGCATCAGCCTTTCCAAGCCATCTGCTTAAAAAAATTGACTTGCTACACGAACAATTCATATGTCGCATTAGATTGTCTTTACGTGTAAACGTTTTACCACAAGATGAACAATTATACATTGTGATATTTTAGTTCTCAAACAATATCACTGGACAACAAAATTTGCATCATATGCTGTATTCTTTA